AAGATATAAGATAGAGAAAGCTCTAAGGATATATATTCCTATATAACGAGAGACTAAACTAAGAGAAAGAAGAAAGAAAGAAAGGAAAGAGTACGGCGCTATACTTTTATATAGCGACTACTCTTACTAAGCCTCTAGTATACTAAGTCGCCCTTCCTATATAACTAATTCGGAGTATATACTTATCCCGTACTTTATCCGGGATAACGTCGGCTAGTTACGGTTCGTCCTTACTTAGCGCGGTACTAATAGGTATAGGACGTATAGTCGAGTCTAGTCAGATCTAGTCTATCTGTACTCACGGCCGTGACAAGAAGGTGGATTGAAAGAAGACAGTTAATTTTATAGACCGAAGATGATATCATTCAGTCTTTAGCTCTGCCCTCAGCTCTGTGAAAGGTATTATTTGTTTGGTAGCTGTGTGAAATAGTCCATCCTTATGAATTATGGTGATTAATTTAATTCCTCGTTATTGACGCTGGTGGTGACAATTCCCTCGTAGACGAGTTGTTAAACCTCCTTGGTTCCTTTAACGTAGCCTTTGGTACCCTGCGAACACGCTCCGGGCCGCAGGGAGATCGAGAGTTTGCTTGACCCATGTTAGGGCAAACGAAATTAGGTCAATAAGGGTCTAGTGTCATTACGCGATCCCTCGCCACGATGGACAATGGTCGTGTTTCGGCACACGCTTCTATATCAGGTCGGTGAGGTTTGAAACCCGGAAATGTCACCGGCTCATACTCCGAAAACAATGCATCGTGGCTTGTGGAGGTGTGTAGAGATGCTCGTTTGGAGTTTTGAAGTGAATCAGGATGCTTTTCTGGTGTCGTAGTGTTCTGTCCACTCGAGGGCCCTTGTGTGCTTCTGTGGTGTTGTGATTCGCCGCCACGGTAATGGATGTATGATATACGGTCTCGGAAGAAAGAGGAGATTGATGGCTAGCACTTGACCTATTTTCGAGTCAAAAAAATAAAACGTCTCTCCTTATGTTACGGGACTGGTATACCGTGTGTTATAATAGACGATCATTGTTCTGTTTGGAGCATGCCGCCTGCAAAGACGGCACCAACATTGACAAGTGAGCGAACGATTCAAAGGTAAAGAGGATCCTCGGCCTCCTTATGGTTGTCAGACGACTGAGAAACGTGATTGCCCTACCAAGAGTAAGAAAGGAGCTAATGGCAACTGAAAACGGGAAAAAGAAAATCAAGTCGCTGGAGTTCCATGCGTTCGTGCCGTATTTGATGAGGGAAATGGGAACTTACAGAGGAAAGGACAGCGCGAACAGAGCAACGGACGTGACGGGAGGAATCGATCAGCATAACCGGCATAACGGTTATAGCAGATGTCCGTTGGCAGTCCCGTCTTCTTTAGGCAGTTTGAATACCTAGATAGTTTGGATGAAATATTAGAAAAAAAGAAAAAGTTTTTGGGTTTTGAAAACTACCTCTAATAAAGATTGCCAGAAGTGGTTCGAACGCAGAAGGGCAATTGCTGGTTCCCGAGACCAATGTTTTCGACTTGCCGGAGACCGGTCTTTTTGAATTTCGACGACCAGGAACAGGGAGAAAGCGAAGACGGCGGGCTTTTCAAATACCGAGATCTAAGAAGTGAAGGCTTTTCCGTATGCGTCGAGCAGCAGCAGTAAGTGCGTTCCTCGCTTCTTGAACAGAAGCCTTTCATGCCTCTGGAGTAGTGTGATAGACAGTTCCCGCGGCTATCAATAGGAGGACAGTGGTGACAGATAAGTTGCAATTATTGGCAAATTGCAACCAGTTCTTCTTGATTAAGCTGACCGGTCAGCGAGTATGAACACGAATAACAAGCGGTGAAAAATGAGGGTGATTGGCGTCAAGTAACATGTCTACCTTACCAGAAGCCAAGCTCGCTGCGGAAGCTTAGATTGCCAGAGGAATTGTCGTACTCAAACTCCAAAATGACGAATTCAATGCTTTGAGCCGACATGGCACTTATTCTCACATTCGAACTCCGGCAAGCCCAATATGTATACTTATCCTTCTTCTCGGTCAGGATCTGGGTGTATTTTTCCTCGAAATTCTCCGGCCATTCTAGATGGACTTCGGTCCTGGCTTCGAGTGTCTCCGCATTGCAGAACTAAAAGGTTTCGCTGAAAGAATCTTTTTCAGGAGTTTCTGATGGACCAAGTAGACCGACGCAGTATGAAATGAGGGCATTCTTGTCCAAAGTCTTGCACAGTCGACCCTCGTACTCGAAGAGAGCTCTTTCGGGGACGGCCGGTTTAGTTTCGTCTGACCCGAACGTTAGTCAGAGTTGAGACCTCATTCAGATTTTTCATTAGGTCCAGCGCAGGTTCCCAAAAAGGCAGATGAATTTTGACAATCCGTGTCTCAGGGTGACGGTCAGCTCCCGATGTGCTTGGCTTGCTCCAGATGAGGCATAATTTGCAGATAGTCCAAAGTCGACCGGCGGCAGCCGCCACCTGCATTGAGTGGAAGGCCCGGCATTGGGCTGGCCAGATCTGTCTAGGATTCACAGGCCCCCAGCCTCGTGATGTGTTCCGCCACGAGCCAACCGACTGCGGGCCAATAGAATTCACCACAAGGAGCTGAAGAAGAAGTTGTTAGCGGAGGGCGCGGCCAGAAGCGGAAGCGGTCATGGCGGCGCCAGTGCTCAGGGTTAGGAGCCTCTCGAGCTGGTGTCATTATCAGGACGGAGCAATCAAGAGTAACGAAACAAACCATACAGTCATCAAGCCAGGGCATTTGGTTGGAGATGGCGATTTTCTAGTGAGATGTCAGGTGGCGGCCTGTTTTCCATTGCGTTACCAGCGGGTAATACGCCGGACCGATCGGGAACAGAAGATGACGGTCATCGGCGCTCTCGAGCTTTTCGGCATGCGTGAAGAACTTCTCAAGCACCTTGGTTCGAGCGACCGCCTCCTCTGCGCGTGTCGCGTTGATGGCCATCATATTATCCATCTCCCAGGCTGTTTCCTCGCGTTCTTTTCTCACTGCTATCGCCTCCTTCGCTCGTTGCTCGTTTTAGGCTTGCAGCACCTCTATCCCTGCCTCGGGATCATCTCCTCGGCAGCCGTCGATTTGAACATGTGTACAAAGAACTATATGCTTGCTTTGCAGGAAAAGGTCCGCAAGCTAGACACCATGGTCACGACACTAAGACATGGCTCCGATCAGGAAGCTGTCACTATACTTCAGCGAATCCGAGCGACGATATCTTCGAGTCTGCTTCCATTGGCATTACCGAAAGGCCATGTGATTGACGACCAGCATGAGTCTCCTCGGCAGGTCGTCGAGTTCAATACTCATATATGTCTCGATTCACATGCCTCAATCTGGTGTGACACGGCATCGGAGCCTGAAAACTCGGAGCTCACACAAATAGACTTCGACCCAGACTGTCCGAGTGTATGCAGTCCATAACCTTTCACCGAAACTGCTGATCATCCGCAGCATCGACGCCTACTCCGGTTGCAGTCCTGCCCTGCTTTCTATATACGGGCGATATGAACTGGAGGGCATTGCGGCTCAGGTCTATCGACGACAAGCGACGATCGACAACGTAACCATATGCGAACTTTGTCCCTTGGCCGCGGCCAGTAGAAGATACTATGTTGATGAGTTCGACGGCTCCGTCTCGGAAGCCTTGTACAGTACGCCTAAGTTACATGTCGAAGACTGCATCGAATCAAGCTTTGTCCAAGGCATGAGAACCACGCTCTGACTGAGCATGTACCCCTTCTTCACCCACCCCACTAGGACTCGTATTCGACTGAGTCCGTCATTTGTCATTTGCCCTAGCTGTATGGAAGCTAGCTGATAATTTCACAGCATAGACCTCTGTTCAGCTCGTTCGGCGTATCTGCAGAAAGAGCGATCGCCGTTTGACTTCGGCATTGCATAACCAACGGCGTATTGTTCACTCGTCTTTATGGAATGGTAACCAAATTTCTATGGCCACGACCTCAGATCCGACTTTGGCCGCCGGCTTTCTTCGTGGCTTGCATATCAACCTGCCATCAGCCAAGAGAGGGCGGCCCACGATCGAAAATCGATTTCAGGCGCAGTTGTGCATGATCGGCCTGATAATGGCGGGCATCTCACACGACATCTACAGACCAGCTCGCGTCACGTGCTCTATCGTCGAAAAGCGCTCCAGGATATCGAATCGGTGGAAAGAAGACCTGCCGCACGAAATGCAGCTGTCTGAGCTTTTAAGCGGGAATATCTCTGCAGGCCTACAGTAGAGATCATTTCTACTCTTGCATGTCGTGTTCCTTGGAGCGCAAATGTTCGTTTAGCAGTCCGTGCTGGTAGCAATGGCCAGGTGCGAAATGAACAGACGGTGGACGCTGAATGGGAACCTTGAACGGGGCGGTTGGCTCCAACAGCAATGTGTTCGGGTGGCTGAGACTTGCTCGCATCTCCTGGATGTGCTCGGATGCACCAGGTGTATGTTTCGCAGAGATTGGTTGTGCATGTAAGTCAATGCGACGTCCTACTGGCGGAATAACTGACTTTTCTCCTACCACCAGTGGCCCCGCGGTCATGCAGTGTGCTACTTTTCGACGCTGCCCAGTCGCTACTCTATCAGCAAAGAGACAAACCCCAGGAGCTGCTTGCTAAACTAGAGGAGTGTGTCAATGTCCTGCAGGGATGCGGGAAAGCCGCTTGTATCGTGGTCGAGAAGCCTCAGATCCTACTCCCCTTGTGCCAAGATCTACGGAGGCTCGCTAGCACTGGTCCAAACCGCGGTAAGTAAAGCGGTATCTACGACATATTGGAGAACCCACATTCTCTTACGGTGTCGGCCAACCCACCGATATCTACTCCCATAATGTGGGACTACTTGGTTCCATTCTTCGTTTTCTGTGTGACCAGAAAATCTCTATCTAAATAGTGGTACGCTAACTCGCTAGCGCGTCTTGTGACAGTTAGTGGTGCAGTGTTACCCATCGGCCAACCTTCCCCATAGGGTTAGGGCAACATATAATACCTGGGATGCACCGTGCGATTGAAGCTTTGGAAAACCCAGCTCCGAGATCTTCGACAATTGAGCATCTTCTCATTTGTAACAGGCGACCGTAGTTCTGTCCATTTAGGAACTTTTTCGAGTTCATGTTACTTGCCGGAATCTGGAGGGGTGGTGAAGAGCGACGTCAAGATCCATGGCCCGAGAGAGGGGTGTTATTTCAACGTGCGGGGAAGCAGTTTAACGTCCTGTTTTCGCTCTACAGTAGGTTACCAAAAGTCACCGGACACTAGTCTCTTAGTACGCCTCCTGGATACTACATTCCCCTACACTTGATAAGTTTTTCCCATATATTTACTATAGTAGAGTAGTATAATTAGTATAAATCGATAGCTCAAGCGAAGTACTTTCAGAATATCGTATCTTCCAGATTAAAACCGCGTATATTAGCTCTTAGTCTTAATAACTATATTAACTCTCTCGTCTATAGATTTGATAGTCTTTCTAATCGTTACCTAGTCTAGACTAGCCTAGACTCTTAAGATAGCGTTTATAAAGCGATCGAGAGTCTCCTAAGAGTTCCTAGTTATATATTAAAGCTCTAGATTAATCGCGTTAATAAGGCATTTAAGCTCAAACTAGAGATTCTCGATAGGGTTTAAATCTAGCGAATATAATAGTTATTCTATAATGTCTATTCCGTAATTCTCTAATCACTTCTTAACCTTTTTAGCCTTATAAATAGGTACGTTATCTTATATAAATATTCTACTAGGCTCCTAGACTATTAGAATATTATCGGTAAGAACTTAGATATAGGAATTAGTAGAATAGCCTATCTTTACTAACTCCTAGTCGCGCGAAAGGATATAAATATCGAAAGATTCGCCCTCGCCGAAGATTACTACCTAAATTATAATTAAGATATCCTTATTTATACTCTTCTAAGTAATCTTATCCTTATCCTACTTCTACTAGAGCGTCCGAAAGACCTATTCGCGTTAAGTTCTACTATCGCGTTAAATAGAGTATTTATCGCTCTAGATTACTTTACGCTAATCTTCCTATATCTAGTCTCGGTGCGCTAAAGTCTATTCGTATTTAACTTGAGTAGTCTTATCCGTTAATTTAGGACGCTTTTTAGTCATCTATTTCTTAATTTAGTAGTTCTAAAGTAGCCTTCGAATCGTCTAATCGGATATATCTAAATTAAGTCTTCTTCGTAACTCAGAATAGCTAATCTTAGGAGTGACCTTAATAGCGCGTACGATACGTCGCTCTATACGCTTAGTAAGCTTTTTAGGTCTTCTAGTTCGATTAGTAGAGTCTAGGCGTAGATTTTATAGTATATCGGACACTATCGATTTGGGAATGTTTGAGATATCTACGATTTCGCGTACGGATTTATCAGTCAAATGGAGACTATATATAGTGCCACGTTCAAAATTAGACTATTGATGTCTAGTGGCTATCTCTATATTAATAGATTGACAAATGAAGAGGTGGTTGTTAAGGAATCATACTTTGAAATCTATTCATCTGTACGAGGGTGTGGGTACCAAGGCACTAGTGTCCGGTGACTTTTGGTAACCTACTGTATCTTCTGTTCAACGGTCTCTTAGTCGGCCCCAGGCCATGCCCGGGTTCTGAATCTTCAAGTACCGAGTGAGGTGAGTGTCGGATCTCTCTCTGGTAGTGCAACGGTCTAGCGGCGACGATTTCGGGTTTCCGATGAGTCGAGGGATCGGAACCGCCACTCAGCCAGGGCAAGTAGAATGCTCGACGACTGTCGAACCGCTTGCGGCGCTCGGGTGCGTGGACAGACTTCCTCGAAGCGGCGTCTGAGTGGTGTATTCGTCAATATGAGCGGTGACATCTTTGCCGTTGACCTGTTGTTTTGCAATGGTAACGGGCTAGACCGGCAGGAATCTGTCTTGCGACAGTTAGAACAAATTTTGACGCGGTATGAGACGTGACACGAGATGTGACATGACCATGACAAGGGTTACCGAGGACGCGCGTCTCTTGGACGGGATGGGGGAAGAGCTTGCCGGAGGTGGGAGTAAGGTACACCTCAAAGTTGGCTGAAATAGATCCTTGGAGAAAGACGCGTTGTTTGATCGATTATTTAGGCCGATAGACTGTAGAGGCCTCCTTGGGGTGGGCATTGCTGTGTTGAATAGAGAACGTCAAATTGTGATCGGACGCGCGACGCGAAAGAAACGCGTGCTATTCCCAGACTTTTGCGCACCCACTGTATGTGCTGCATCACCGGCATATCGCGGCGTCCGTATGGCCATTGAAGAGAAGGGAGCGACCAAGCGATCAGGCATGAATCAGGGCAAGGGGACGAGCAAGGCTGAGCGGGGAGTTCAATTCATTGCGGCACTAGGCGATGGGATTCATGTCGAATAAATGCCCATCTCCGTCTACCTAATTGCCTCTGTTTTGGTTGTAAGGGCCCGCACGTCCCTGGAGAGAGTGGTGTTCTGCGATGGCACCCGAGAGAAGGCTCAGAAGATTTATGCAACCAGTACCCAAAGGAGCGCGTCACTAGCAAAAAAAACATACGCAGCCACCCACAAACGCAAAAGAAAAGAATGAAAGATTGATCATCCATGCCAGGTCCCCTCAACCTCCCTCCCCCTTCCCCTTTCCCTTCCTCTTCTCCTGTCGCACACCTTACAGCCAACCGAGCCCCGAGCGTAGGAAGACAATCTGGAGATTTCCAAGACAGCCGGGATAGTCGGGGCGGGCCAGGCCAATTGCCAGTGGTCCAAGACGACCGGGACAAAAGCTCCACCCGATGGCGAACGGGGGCCTACCTAAGACTGGATGCGCTGGACGACAATTTGGCTGCCTTGTATGGACACGTCCGTTATCGCGCTGCCTTTCTGCATGATTTCCATAACGGTGGCGCCGCTGGAACCATAGGTCGTGTCGCCGCTGGTGGCCGGGGACATAGTAAAAGTCACGTTATCGAAGTTGACGAATGGGACCAGCATGTCGTTCTCCTCGAAGTCCTCGACGATCCACTCCGCGTTCAGCTGCTTCTACTAGGCCAACTCGTCATGGAATGAATGTAAGCGAGACCGTCTGGCCGGTGGACAGGTTTTCGATTGTAACTTTGCTCTCAGTCGCGCTATTGGCCGTATCGCTGTACAGTACAACGCTGTCAGTCGGTTCGTGCGGACGTAAGGAGATGGGAGGAGATGAGGCTGGTGGACTAGTGATGGAGCTTGGGAACTTGCCGGAGAGGAGGTGGGATAATGAGCGGAGAATGGGAGGCACCTACGTAACCATGATCTCGTCGCCCGTGCTGATCTTCATGCCTTTGAAGTCGTAGGCGGAATTAGGATACCGCTCGTACCAGGCATCAAAGCCTTGGACGTCGTCGTCGACGTAGAAGTCGATACCGCTCTGCAGGATCGAGTTCGTCGCTATACTCCACCTTCTGCTTGCGGCTGTTGGCTATCATGGTTTTCTAAGGCGCCATCTCATCGTCTTCCAGGGCGATGATGGCCTGGACCTTCATGGCGTCATGGACCTCCATGCGCATATCCTGGCCGCTGCCCATCTTGATCTTGGCGCTGGGGCTCATCTGCTTGGAAACGTGGGCGCCGTGGACGTTGGCGGCCGCGTGCGCCTGCTAAGGCCGTAGCGGTGCATGTCATCGCGGCCCTGTCGCATGCGGGTAAGGCGAGCGGCGAAGCTGCCCTCGGCGAGGATGAGGGCGAGAGCGAAGACGTCGGCGACCTTCATTGTGTCAGGGTGTCAGGTTGGAGGGGTTTGGGAGCGGGAGCTGAAAGGGGTAGAACGTGAGCGGACTGGGTCTGTATGCTGGCTTTGATCGGCTTTACTAGTTGCTGGGGCGGCAAAGGCGAAAGTTGATATGATAAGCAGCTCGAATACATAGACAGAGAAGAGGAGATCAAACCCCCTTAAATAGACGTGTGAAAAGACGGACGTCTTCTGCCGCAAACATCGCTTCTCGTGGACTGAGTGCCTCGCTGACCTCGACGGCGGACGAGACTAGGACGGCCGCTGACTCTCGAACTTCTTTATTAGGTAGGGAGGGGACATTACAGGCGCGCGAAACCCTCCTCGTCTCCGACCCTGAGGCGCCGTAATGCGTATGATAGAAATTCCGCGACATGCCGCTCGTCCGACTTTTAAAACGGGAACGCCCACAGGCCTGGAAGACGGGACGGTGCTGAGCTCCCCTGGCCGCCGACAGCCGAAGCAGTCAATGATGGGACTACCCTAGGCAGCCGCATGCGCGCGCGAGAGGACTTCCACATCCAGTAGGCTGTTAAGGATGCCTTATTGAAGATAGGCAGTACTCAGCGATAGATAGAATCCGTAGTAATAAGTATCCTTTACGTATCGTATCAACAAGACTCAAAGCTTAAGAGAAGGAAGCTTTCCGTGTGTGGGAAGCGTACCTTTTCTCCTATAGGCCTGGTAAGCCTAATTGGCTTAGGGCCGTCCCAGCGGTCCCTTTACTCCGCTCTTCCACTTAAGCTACAGTGGCGCATAGGGATGCTTCTCCCATGCGAGTCACGTGCTCTTCTGCTGCGTTTGTGACATAGGCGGTCGATATCGTCGCTAGTGATGATGAAGGGGCCATGCTAAGCCGAGTGCACTGCGCTCTTTATGTGAGCCGGCACGGCTGGCTTCCATATCGAACAAGCACCTGCAGCACACACCAGGTAGGTCAACCAGAGCTGCTGTGGCGGTTCTCTGGAATAGCGGCACAGAGTGCGAAAAGCGCATATCAATACTGGCCTTCTCTGTCGTGGCCTGCTATATCGGCTAAATGAGAAGAATGCATCTCACTGCTTTACGTTCCAGCCCGCAAGGCTCATAAACACAGCCCCCTTCCTTCGCTTACTCCAAAAGAGAAGGAAAAGGTCCCGTGGTGCGGCTCGCGATCCCCGAAACACTGATGTCGACCCCATAATCTTCATCGAGAGTCTCGTCTTTGCCGATGAGGCGTTCGCGGGTAGTATACGCTGCCTGGAAGACATCTAAAAGGTCGTCGTGCCGGCTGGCCAAATTCAGATACGCATCCCTCGGCGCAAGGACTGGGACGACAAGCTGACATTCCGAGACGTCCTCGGTGGGGGGAAGAGCGCGATGCTCGCGGTCGACCAGGCCTTCTCGTATGCGAAAGCGCGACGGGTCTTGGTCGGCCGCGGTCGGGCACTAAGACACGAGAAGCGGCTGGAGTGGTACGTCCTGCGTCGCGCATCAGGCAAGAGACTCCACGGTAAGTCATTCCCATACACAGTCCCTCCCTTTCCCTACTCCGCCCAGCCCTCGTAAAGTCGGCTAACTTTATTATAGAGGCTGTCACACAGGAGGAGAGGAACGCCAGCATGGGTCACACACTCGGGGACTCGTCGACGTACGTTAAGTACTTCATAACCGAGTACCTCAGCTTGAACTTCCACGCGATTGTGTTTGGGAGCCGGCCGCAAAAGGATATAATCGATCAGTCACGTGCCATATCTCCACTGACGGAGTTATGGCACGTGATTTTCCTATTGTGTCACGGGCGTCGGACGAGGTCTAAGTCGCCAAACCCGGCACCCCGCAAAGCACCCGCCAAGGGACGCACTATGACTGTTGTCCGCCGGCCCCGTGCTACCAAGGCACAGACGCAAAAGCAGAGTGACGAGACCTCGACGCGTCATGACACGGCCGCCGGAGACCAGGAATCGCCGGCGGTAAGAAGGCCAGAAGCCGTGGTCGAGGACGTGTTCGGAGACATGACCATGGACAGGGTTATGGAACCGCTCGGCGAGAGACCGGAAGATAGAGCCATTGTCTCAAACTTGCAACCTCAAGCCCCTAGATTAAGTGACATAACTCTCGGATACGTGGAGCATGCAGAGACGGTGGCTCTCGCCGACATGGGGGCTGGGATGATTTCCATCGCAGACATAGAGGACGTGCCCATCGCATGCGTGGAGACCATGACCATCGCAGACTCGGAGCCTTGGCCACCTCTCGACCTCAGAATGGAGGACACAGCAGCAATCGCAGGCCTGGACCCTCCAGCACACAGGCCAGATGACACGGCCATCTTAGACCCGAGTTCTCAACACGCTAGGTCGAACAGCACGGCGGCCATCGCAAGCCTGTAAAACACGGATATCGCGATAGCACTCGGATGGCTGGCTGAAAGACCGGAGAGCACGGCCATCTCGGACACTGGGGACATGATCACCCCAGACCTGATGAAGGGCACGACGTCCGACTCTGCTGGCTTTGAGCTGTGGGACACGACTTCTGAGCCGGGGGTTGACATGCTCATCTCGACCACCATGACAAGGCCGCTGACATGTTCATTCTGTGGGTATGATGCGGACGCGGACGACCCGGGCGAACACATGTGCGACGAGATCCTCGAGGGAGATGCCCGTCAGGTGCCCGTTCGAGGACGACACTTCTCAAGCGATATGCGGGGACTTTAGATCGTTTACGAGCCACGTCAGACGGCAGCATCCAACGATTCTGGAGACGTAACAGCACGGGGGAAGGGAGGGGAGGGGAGTTTGGGGGGCTAGGGGGTTGCGTTAGCGGATGTTGCTGTCGAATAAGTGCCCGCAAGCTAGGTACAGCACGCCGGATAGCTAACTAGCGCTCAGTAGGCAAAAAACAGTTAAGAAACATCGTCCCACGTCGCCACCACGGCCGCCCGGTTTGCTCCCTACCTCTCCGCCTCAGTAGATGGAACGATCACGACGTCAAAGACATCCCTCGAAAAGAGCATGGCCACGACTTGGTCGCAGGTAAAACTGGACTCAACAATCTGGCCCTCCAAGGTGCGTGTCAATTCTTATTCCTCGTTTCCTATTGTGGCCCCCTCCTTGGATGAGAGAGATACTCGACGACTGTGGTCGTACACCTAGTGGCCAGAGCAGACAGCAAGATAGCAAGACAATATAGTGAATAGTTGGGCGACATGTAACCCCCCCACAACGGCATCTGGCTCTCCTGGGATTGACACCTATTGGGGGGTGAGGCCCTTCTCTGGCACTTGGCTCCCCTGAGATATCTGAACGTGGAAGAAGATGCAGTACCCGTTGCGCGTATGTTGGCTTTCGAAAGGCAAAGAGTTGTGCGTGGAAGCCACCCCGCTAGCCCAATAGTTCCCCTGTACGCGACCGTCGGTGCATGCTGCGGTTCAAGTTTTCGGCAGCATTCGACAGGGATCCGTCGTGGCTAGGGTCACCGGAGCTTTTCCGGAAGGTACTGCGACACCAGCACCTCAGCCTGGGGAGAAGAAAGTAGGGGTGCCGGGGTATATCGAGACCAAGAAGCCGACAAGATCAATATCGCCACATTCAACGGCGCTTCAAGCCCTTCCGGAAGACAGAAGGAATGATGCGACCAAAACGGCGAGCCGCCCTCCCCTTCAAGCCATAGCCAACCTTCAAACAACGCCCAGCTTCGAGGCGGGGATCAGGGATGCTGGCTGGATTGGCCTTCCTGCAAGCGGAAAGAGCTGCCAAGGGGTCGAAGCGACTCGGCAGCAGCAGGCACCCGCGGCCACGACTCCGATAGGAAATAAGACGAAGACCGACTTCTCGGCCTCCGTCGTCGAAACGGAGTCTTCCTTCCCTCAGAACAGGGGGGCGGCCGCTTCGCTCTTCAGTCCCTCGACCGGACTGACTCCGACGCCATGGAGGACGAGACGACGAAAACCGAGCCAACGGAGGAAGCTCCTGTCCCGAGCGGCTTCTCCGGCGCCGCAAACCCTCTTCCGAAAGGCGCGAGGCACTGTGACGGCAACTGACCCGCGGGAGCCTACGCCGATGGCAGATTCCAAAGCTTGCTGGCCCGCGAACGCACGGCCATCCCCGACCCTAAATACCTAGACCACCAAGATTTCGGTGCAGACGAGCGGGCCGCCGTCGCCAACTGGCTTGTCGAGCTCCACGACGGCTACCGGCTTGCCCCGGTATATCTCTTCCTCGGCGTGAGTATACTCGATCCTTACCTGTCGAGAAAAAAGGTCAATCTCTTCAGGCTCCAGCTCCTAGGTGCTACCGGCCTGTGGCCGGCGGCCAAGGTCGAGGAAGCCATGTGTCCGGTGGTTCAGCATTTTCCCCTCATGTACTGCGAAGACGAAACATCCACACCCGTTACGTCGAAGAAGAGGCGGAAAATCTGCTACGAGGGAAGGCCATATTCTCGAAACCTTGGATTTCGTCTTGACCGATCCTGGCCCCTTGGGCTTCCTGCGCCGAATTCCCGGCGCGGACGGCAACGACACGAAATGCCCCTGCCCTCCCCCATCCTCTTGACGTAAACAAAGACCAACATAAACTAATCTTTCTCCATCTCGCAGGACGACACATTCTCCTCGTTTGCGGGCGATTACACGGAAGAGGACGTCGAGCTCGTCCTCCGGCTGATGGTCGAGGGTCTGATACCCAAGCCCACCGAGCCTGCAGACCAAAACCGGCGCTTCGTATTTGACGTATCCCCGTGATGAGGAAGGTGCTAATGCCCAGAGCGGCATACAAGAAGTCCAATTCCCTCGACACTTCACAGCAGCGTCCAGTCATGGGCAGTAGAGAACGGCAAGAGGTTTGTGTCGGCGCCGGATCGGGGCATTCCGAACACGGGCGCGGTGCAAGAGACAGAAATATGGGCGATCCTGAGCAGCTCAGTCTACGGGAGGCCGGAAAACGTGGAGTTAACAGCGAGTATAAAGGAAAGGGAAGTGCAGAGGGACACCGCACCGTTGCGGATGGATTATGATACCAGGTCCTGCCATTTCGGGGGGCTTTTTTGCTTCACAGTGAGCTGGTGGCGGGACGCAGAGGCGATTGAAAGGAATAATTAATACATAAATGCATTGCAAAATGACTTTGTGCCCAACTGTCTCTCTCTCCCCTCTCAACCGAATCTCCGCGTCATCCATGACCCCGTGCTACCCGGATTCCTGACCGTCCAAATGACCGTCCAACTCGCCGTCCTCCCGAAGGTACTCGTGTTCGAGGGTTCTCTTCGCCGAGATGCGGTTCTCAGGATTTAGTTCCAGTATTTGCCCGAGCAGTCCCAGACCGGGTTCGTGCGGCTAGTCGCACAGGACGCATTCGGCGCACCCTTGCAACTCGTAGAACGACAGTTCGAGGGTTTTCAAGGTCATAACACCAGGCCAATCGGCTTCGGCAGGAGGCCCCAAGGAACTAAACGTAGAGAGGCATGGGGTTGGAGACGTACGGCTCGGGGGGGAGCGGGAGGGGTGTTGGTATTGAAACTGCCAGGTATGTGGCGGACGTACCTGAGAACAGCTTTCAACTGCTCCATCTCCGAACGTCCTCTGAAGCGCACCTTGGACGTGCACAGCTCGGCCCAGATATAGCGCATCGACCACACGTCAACGACGGCCGTGTACCGGGGCGCGCCCAGCGGCAGCTCCGGCGCGCGGTAGTAGAGCGTCACGAGCCCGGGCGTGTGCGCGCGCCGGGCTTCCGTCGGCCAGCGCGCCAGGCCGAAGTCGGCGACCTTGACCCTCTCGTCTGGTTATCGGCTGGTTCGCCGGCTTGAGGCCGCGATGGAGGAGCGAGACCGAATGGATATAAGCGACGCCGCCGCACAGCTGACGTAGGAGGTGTCGGACGCGCCCGGCCGGGACGCTCGATCCCTCCGGCTGGCCCTGGATGTATCAGTCGAGGCCCTGGTCCTGGTGCTCCGTGACCAGGTTCAATGTCCGGCTTTCGAAGTTGTAACACACGTCGATGATTTCGACAAGGTTGGGGTGCTTTACTACTTTGAGCGCGCGGATTTCGCGCAGAGTAGGGATAGGAACGCCTTAGTCCTCCGGCTCGTTGCGGATTAAGGACCGCGATGCGCCTGGGAATGCCTCGAATCATAGTATTATAGACCGACCTTGATTCAAGTGGCAAAAAGTTCTACAACTGCTTAAAGATATTCTGTGACAGCACTGAGCAAGGCATGTTATACTGAATGCACGGCTGACAAATGGCTAGACGTTGGATATCTAGTCTTTGAGCTCCCTGGGGCCTTCAGTCCGCGTCTATCCCATCCCAACTGGGCCTATGGCATTGCGGTCATTATCTGCGGTATCCTCGCCACATCTATATCAGCCGTCAGATCATACGCACCGATCATGGTCGTTCGAGCTTTTCTCAGGTTTGCCGAAGCTTTCGTCCAGACTTGCTTCGGGTTTCTGTCACTGTGGTATCGACGGGAGCACGAACTCATCCTCCAACGAACGGCCGCTGTCCATAACACGCCGGATGGAAAGCCGCGTTTGTTCCGAGTGTGGTGGGCGCTGAAGGACCCGAAGACCTGGTTGTTTGCAATGGCGATTGCCGCCGCATCTATGGATGTCGCCGCTTTAGGGGCATTCTTGCCAACTTTTATCCACCAATTCGAATTCTGTCCACGTAAAGGCCTTCACAGTTGCGTGTCATTGACAGAAGCTAACCAAGCGCGAGTGAACACTCAGTTGTATACCATTATACCGTACGTCTCTGCAACGGTGTCTGAGCACGTTGGTCGATGACATCGACAAGCGAGCGATACCGTTTCTGATGTGCATGAGTACGTCTGTGATTGACTTCATTATTACTTTGGCCACGACCAGCAAGGCTACCCTCGTGGCTGGCTGCTGCTTCATAGTAACAGGGTGTTGCCCCGCCATCGTTGTCTGTGCCACTGGCTGTTGAACAGCCATGCCGGCTATACCAGTGTACTCAGCGGCGAATCTGAACCTCTCCAAAATCCATTTCCGTTTCCAGACCTGAGCGCCCTGCCATTTGACCTGAGTTATGACTAAACCGCTCTGAGCTGTGGCTGTGCAGACCTGAGCCATGCCCTGAGCAGCCTGAGTACAGCCCGTGAGCGCCTTTCAAGGACCCATAACTTGGCCCCTTAGTTCCAGTTTTCATGTTTCACTTATTTGGAAGGGCCCAGTCTTGGGCTCTTTTGTTCGGTTATTGTTGCCAATGCGCTTACTGGCCGCTTTCCGGGCCAAAGCTGCTGCCTAGAGGACTGCCTCCCATCTCTCGCAGCCACCCACGCAAATACGTGAAAGACTTCGCCCAATTAGCTCTTGGGGGTTTACGGCGAAGTGCTTGACGAGATTCGAATTCGTAGCACAACCTCTTCGAGATCGGCTGACCTAATCAACAAGACAACCGAGGCAAGCACACGTGGGGAGCCTTTGGTGAAAACATTCCAATCTTTCGTCGCCGATATTTGGCACCTGGTGACTACCTGCACAGAAGACTTCGCGCAACTTAATGTTGCGCCCTTCAGGGTTAGATGATATTAGCACAGACTCCTCTGTGCAGGTCGCTCAAAGATATCGACTGGAGAAGTTGAATACTCCGACAGTAGTCAGCTGATAACTGCATCGACGCACCCACTTCGGGACAAGAAGTTTGCCAAGAAGCGATGCTACCCAACCATCCTCTTTTCGTGTGATGTCACATATCATCTAGCCCCAGCGCTTTCAAGTCCGACCGTTGTCGCTACTTCGCCTGCAACTACATGAATCTGCCCATTCCTTTCTCCCTTATCTCGACATACCATAGCACGTCGAGATAGTATAACCGCTCAGAACTCCAGAAGGCAGTCCGCGAAGCTACTACGCCAAGGTTATTTATCCGCTTCCGTTTTCAGCATTCGACTGACCAGCAAAGGGAAACGCCCTCAAGGCATCGAGAAGGGACGAAAGTCATGGTCTCTTCGACGGAGCGCCCGCTTGGACCGCTTGATTGAGGTTACTGAGACTCAGCCAAAAACCACACAACAACCTCTACCATCTCCGGTCAGCGATATCAAAGGTCCCTATATAAGTCCGCCAGCGTTATCCTGTGATGGATGACTGACTCAATAAAGCGTACGCACCCACTTCCTACCCGTCTACCATCTAAGTCTCCGAAGCGGAAACGAGAAACTGAGCAGCAACTTAACCCGCCCTCTCCAAAACGGCCGCGAATATCTCGTCCTAGCTCCCCTCTGCTCGACGTTGACTCTATTACATATTGAACGCAGACATCCCACTAGCCGCGAAGACACTTCGACGAAAGTGGCGAAATAAGTCATTTATTAGCGAGAAAGAAATCCACCACCTCTCTTCGGCGAAAGCGATCGGATAGCGAGGCTAGCGCCGCCAGCTCAACTACACCGAGTGACCAGAAACCTAGAGAGGAGAAGAGTGCGCCATATCAAGACCTACGCTATAACTCGCTTCTCGAGGCGAAAGGCAGCTTTATAGGCAAGTATATTGGCCGGAGTGAAGAGGGTCCTACTATAATAAGCAAGAAAGAGTATAAATCCTTACTTGAAGCCGAGCAGGTAGTTCCCGAACATTCCTTATTTCAGGATGATTACTTCGAGGATACCTGCGAGATCGTTTAGAACAGAAACGAAGTAAAGATCATTTAGGATATCGTAAGACTCATAGTCCCTTCCTCGAAATTATTAGCGGTTCAAGGGGCGAAGCATTTAAGACGTCTCACTAAGAGCGTGAATAAGGGCTAGAACAATACTATTCCCGTCACTAAAATACGACCTTAACTAGACTATTCTATAGGGTTTAAACGCTCGGTATTTATAGAAGAATAAATTAAGAAACTTTAGCCATTCGTAGGCGAACTCTTCAACAATTCCTTCTTCATAGGGACATAGTATATATATTTCCCCTTCTTCTCGAGCGAAGTAAAGTGCGGCGCGGCCGCACTCGACGTGATAGATCGACAGAACGCGCACAGTATAACGCTCGCTATTCGAGAAGTCGTGGAACTATTCCGGCTCGTAAAGCGTAAGAAAGAGCTTTATCGTGAGATCCTAGCTTTTTCTATCTCGCACGATAATAAAGCTATCAGGATTTATAGTTACTATCCCATAATCAAGGGTAGAAAGACCACGTTCTATCGGTATCCCATTTATAAATTCAGCTTTACTACACTTAATGGGAAAGAAAAATAGATAGCATATAAGTTTACTAAAAACGTTTATAATATCTAGATATCTACTTACTTTAAAAGGCTTTACTCTATAATCGACGTAATACTATCCGATATATATTTTGAAGTCTCCGAAGAATCGGATTTATAATTCCCTTCGTCATTAGGACTTTTATAGGGTCTGGAAAGTTATTATCTTTCGGAGTTAGCGGCTATAGATAATGATAGACTAAGCTTTCTTAACCCTTAAGAGGTGACGCTAGATACTTCTATTTCTAAAACATCAGAATAGGCGACGTTTAAGAAACTAAAGAAGAGATAAGACTCGGTATACATATGGCTAGAGAACTTCTGGAAATGGAGAGGTCGAATTGGGGCAAAATCATGTCGATAACATTACTGTCTCATAATCTGCTATTATTGTGGTGTTCGGGAACAACCCTAGTCCCAACGTAGAGTCACTCGTATCAAAGTGGTATATCAATTCACACAGCAGAGAGAAATTGCCGATATAATCTATTATGAATGCTTTGTGCGAAATACTTTACTGCGGCGATACGTCCTTTCGGATATGACTCCCTGAGTATTACGTCTGTCCTGCAAACAGGTTGATATCGTAGTTATGAATATACTGTCTTATCTACCGTAGTCTTCGAGTTGCGATCTGGAGAAAGGTGTAAGAGAAGTGCAAAATCCAAAAACTATACAAGTATAAATCAGGCTTTTCCAAACCCGTCTCATTCTCCGAGTACTATAATGAACGCCTCTATCGTTATCTTCCCGTTCTCTACATTATCCTACAGGCGCTCTATCCTTTCTACCGTCTCGTCATACTTGTCTAATTCTACTAGCTTCCGTTCCGTAAACTCCTTAGTTATGACAGTAGGGTACATATGAGATGGAGAAGACTCTAAGGATATATATTTCTATATAACGAGAGACT